AGGAAACACCTGTAAAGGACATGAGCTGGGAGCAACTTCAGACTGCAATACAGGTCTTGTCTGACACCTGTGAAAAGGAGGGAAGGAAAGATTGGATAGAAAGAGCTTTAGACTTTGGTGAAGTTCTTGTGAAGTCTTCCCAGGTTAATAGGGAGTTCCTGAGCAAAGGTTTCCCATTAGAGGAATCCCATGTTGGACAGGGATCATCTGGCTCTAATACCACTGCTGTGCTCAGTAACTGGAGAGAAGCATGTCCTTGGTGTAAATACATGAATCCAAAGGTGTAGAAGGTGGAGGCTGACAGTTAACTATGCTTCCTACAGAAGCTTCTCTTAAAGGTAGACCTGAACAGTGTACTCTCATGGTTGCTACGCTGCACATTCCAGAGAGGAAGTGGTCCTATGTAATGGAGCTTTCAACCAGATAGTCTTCTCCTGGAATGGTGCCACATCAAGGGCTCGGTATTGGTCTCAACTGCTGGCAGGTTTGACAGTCAGCAATGGCTGCAGCTAGATCAGCCTGGAGGAAAAGGAGCCCTGCATAGTCTCTGCATTGGTTATCTATTGCTGCATAACAAAGTACCTCAAAAGTTAGTGGCTTAAAACAACAAACATTTATTATCTCACCCTCCATATAAAGCCACTGACCAAGGGTTCTGCTAGCAGCTTTGCAGCAGGAGGAAGCTTTCTCTTTCCAATTGTCTTTAGGGCAACCTCTAACAGGGCTATCGTGCAGCAGCAGTCTCTATATAGTTAACATCCACTTACTGTACTGACCCATCTGTGGATGAGGTCCACATTTTCTTTCTCCATTACAAAACTTTGGTTGAAGGGAATCTCCAGGGAAGCCGTAGAGTTGAGGGAGATGTGTTGGTGAAACTATCAGAATTAGATGTCCTAGGAATTTACAGGTGACTTCTGGACCTGCTCAGGCTCAATCCCAGATGTACCATTTTTGCACAATGGATTACTATTATGCCCACCCATAATGAATCTGATAATAGTCCTTTGATAATTGGTGGCTTTGTCCCTATAGTTTCTGGGTGGCATGTTATCAATTCTCAGTCTCTCCTAGGGCCCAGAGTATCTCTGGGGTTGTCTTTCAAAAAGTGAGTATTTCTCTACCACAACAGGCATGACCTATATGCTTTTCTCCTCTTCGGGTTTACCAGAGACTTCACACAGTATCCTTAGCCACGAGATGCATCAACATCATTGAATCTACTGGTTCGTATGCCCTGAATAGCAGGGGAGCTTGTCCTGCAGCCCAAACTGGATGCAGAACCCCACTCTCGCTCGGTCCCCCACTCAAAGCTGCTGTGTTCTGCTTCACTTGATTCATCTGCCAGAATAGTACTCCCAAGTGCAGTGTATTACTACCCCACTTACTTGGAAAGTGATTCCGAGGCCAGGAATGAGCAATGGATAAATGGAACAGGGAAAGAAGGAAAGGAAATTCAAGCGTGGATTATTGAGTTTGTCAGTTGCTACAGGTGACTGGTATTTGATTCCATGGGATCAACTGAAGAGTTTTATGAAATATGTCTACTGCATGGAGACCTAAGAAGAGGAGCATTTGAAGTACTGGGTTGTGCACACATGTGTACTGAGAAGTTTCCCATGCCTGTCTCCTGTCCCTGTGGGGTCTGGACCATGCCTGAAGCAAGGCACTTCCAGATTGCAGTCCTGCAATGCTGGTCAAAGCCTGAGTGTGGACTGGGTGCCACTGAAGTGGCTCCAGTTAGAGGGAGGGCCAAGAGAATTTGAAAAAATGTACAAGTAGCAGTGAAGAAAGTGGATCTTCTAGATCTCTTCAGAAAGGGTGCAATTCTTAATGATGAAGGAAACATTTCAAGTCTTACCAGCACCCAGAAGTAATTATCAGAGACGTTTCACAAAAATATACTTGTACCAACAGTACTTCTTGATTTATTTCTCCAGCGATGTCTTCTCCAGCTGGCCACCTGGTTTTACTCAACAGAAGTATAGCATCAGAGCAACTGCATGTTAGCCCTGTATAAGTCTCAGTGCATGCAGCTTGTCTCAGAGTTCCAGGAAGGTAAAGACGTGACCAGTCCTTTGTTTGTGTCAAAATTAGAGATCTATCTCAGTCCCATATTTGACTTTTCTTTAACTCAGAAAAAACTTACTATGCATCTCCTAAGAACTAGGCATTGACCTTGGTGCTGAGGAGACTAAGAGGAATGTATTGTGGTCTCTAATCTTGAGGAGCTTGGAGTCAATTGGGAGAGAATGGCATGGAGAGATGGCAAGACTGAGTTCATAGCTCTGTAAGCGTATGGGGAAAACAACTTGTTGTTTGTGAGGCAATCTGCAGTGAAAAATATTACCACAACCCTCCAAGATTAGCAAGGGAAGAATTGCCACTCAGGGAGGAGATAACTACACTTTCCTCTTCTTGCTCTGACAGATTCTCCCAGTTTGGGGGCATCTCTTCAACCCTCAATCTCAAATGCTGATAAATGTATCCCTTAAAGAGTAGCCTACGGATTCATTCCTATAGTTCACCTAAGTCCCAGGCTGGAATATTTAAAAACAACTCAATTAAGATTTAAGGATAACAGAACAAAAGGATGCCAAACAGTGAGAAATGCAGTTTACATAGTTTGTATTTCTTTTCTTTTACTTCCTTTTTTTAATTTTAAAGCAGCCTGGCTTGGAGCCCAACATGGGACTTGAATTCACAATGCCAAGATCAAGACATGAGCTGAGATCAAGAGTTGGATGCCCAACTGACTGAGCCATTCAGATGCCCCATCATGTACATTTCTATATTCATATGAATGTCCATCCTATTGTGTTCTTAGTTTCCTGTTTAGGGCCTCATTTCCAGATTACTTATTTATTTAATGAACGCTTTGTATGGGGCTTAATAAGTACCAGCACTGTCCTAAGCACTTTACAAATGTTAACTTATTTTAAGCTTTATAACAATCTGGTGAGGTGGGTATTATTATCACCCACATTTTAAAGAGGAAAAAACTGTGGCATTGAGTGGTTAGTAACTTGTCCAGTTTTACACAGTTAGTAAGAAGCAGAGCTATGATGTGACCTTAGGCAGTCAGAGCCAGAGCTCATGCTCTTAACCACTACTCTAAACTCCTGACACTGGGAACAATTTCACCTGATTCCCTATCCTTAAGGGTGGGGCCAAACTCCATGATCTTAACGCATAGCCTCAAGTATACAATATAACATATACAGACACAGATAAACACACACTGTCCTTGAGGGCCTGGGCATGGGCCTGGGTACACACAGCAGCAGCATCTGTCTTTGGGTTATAGTAATTACTGGTTTACAGTAAAGTCACAGATGATACAAAATCATTAAAATAAAGAAATAAAAGGACAAAAGGGTAGAGATGGAGTTGGGGGTTGGAAAAGACAGTTGGTATTTACATCAGAAAACCTAGGCTGAGGGAAACTCCTCCAAATCAGTGTACGACTTAGCTCTGAAATTCTGGAAATCAAGGAAAAAGAATATGAAGAGTACATGGCTTTTATTGCCTGACTGAAGGAAGATCCTTGATGGTAGCAAGAGCCCTAGCTGCACAATCTTTCGGTCTGTGGGTTTGGCTGCTGTTGTTTCTTTGCCTTAAAAGGGCTCCCAGTAACTTTATATTAATGATCTACTAGATTTCTAACTGTAGCGTTTTGCTTTGGTGACTCTGCTGTTTTTTTGTTTTGTTTTGGAACCCCATCCTTCCCCTCCACCAGTATGTCATAAATTTGCTGTGTCACTTGAATTGTATTTCAGTGTGCCAGCCAGTCGGATGACATTATTTATTGAATTTTAGCATCTGCTGTGTATGGAACCTGGTCTTAAAGGACTTTCAAACAATAGTTTTTAAAAGAAATATACTAAAAATAAAATTTAATATTGGGTGATTCGAAAGCATTCAGGCAGCATTGAATAGGCAGGGGTCAGTCATGGTAGACTTTCTCCAGAAGGTGGGTTTTGATCCTGGATTTAAACTAAGGGTCTTGGACTGGCAGGGGTGGAAGAGTGTTCCAGAGTTAACCATGACAGCCAGAATGAGGAAATCAAGTGTAGGGAATGGAAAAGACAATCAGGTAGATGTCTTTGAAAGATGACACCAAGAAATAAGAAAACAAAGGAGGCTCTGCCCTGCATCCTTTGGGGGACTCCATCAGGAAGAGGCTGACCGGAGGTGCACTTCATTTTATGCAACAGACACAATGCTTGAAAGTATAAAATAAGAGTAAAAAGTGGAGCGTCTACTGTGCATCAGGCACTGAGATTTAATTTTCATATCTACTCTGTAAAGTGGGAATTATTTTCATTTTGCACACAAGGCAGTGAGCTCAGCAGTGAGGTTAAGTGGCCCATGTGCCCAGTGTTGTCCAATTATTATACCGTGGAACCTCCAAAGTCAATCGGGTTGTGTGACCACGAAGCCCAAGCTTTTGTATGCCACATATATTTTTGTAACTTGAATATTGAAGATAAGCAAGTGGTGAGGATTATTTGAATAAGTCCTAGAGTCATTTCTTCTCTGAGTTACATGTCTACAAACATGTTTTGCAAAGGTCCGAGGTAGAGATTTTCTTGACTGAGTGCATGATGTTAGTTTATTTCATTAAACATACATTACTTTGCCCCATTTGACACCAGATAATGACACCGAAAATATCCTTAATACAATTTTTAGGTCATTCCATTAGGCAGATAATTTCGCAAAGCAATGTCATGGCCAAACCAATCTACCGGGGAAGATAACTGAAGTTTCCCACAACGCCCAGGCTGTGGAGACCGGGAAAAGTGTAACTCGTGTCCACACTAAAAGAAAGGCTGTTCAAACACTAAAAGGAAGGCTGTCCGAGCGAGACGAGGGTAGGCTCCACGAGGGGGAAAGTGGCTGGAGGCGGATGACAGCAGCTGCGTGGAGTGACCCGCCCTGGGCCCGCGGGCCTCAGACCCCGCCCATCGCTGTGGCCCGGCACCAGGGCCGCGCCGGGGTCTGCGCATGCGCGCGGGGCCACGGCGACTACGCCGACACTACCACCTCCTACGCGCCGTCTTCCGCCACTGTTACCCTAGCTCTCCACCCTTCCATCCCGCGGCGCCCGAGTGGTCATGGCCGATCCTCGCGTGAGGCAGATCAAGATCAAAACCGGCGTGGTGAAGCGGTAAGGAGCCGCAAGCAGCGCACACGCCGCCTCCTCTCCTTCGCCTTATGGCGGTCCGAGAGGCCGGGCGGAGCGCAGGCCCAAAGCGGGCTCCGGACTCCAGGCCTCACCTGGGGCTCCGCGGCCGGGACGCGGCGGGGACGCGTCGGTGCCTGAGCCCGC